CGCACGTCGTCTGTCACGTATTAAGTTTTTTATGTCATCGGGGAGGGTGCCCCGGGGGTTTGTCAGTCGGGGGACAATAGTCTCCGTCGTAGTCTGAGTCAGGGCGTTTTTAATGTCAGTCTCAAGGGAGAGGATTGCCGCCTCCAGATCATGGGTGGTTTCGATGACTGGGAGCGCCATGTTTCCTTGCATTACTGTTCGGAAACGCTCCCAGTCAGTGAACCTCCTCGTGAAGGTGCCTTCATATCTCTGTCTTCGCCCCAGATCCAGAAATATTGGATTGTGGGCGGAAGACCCTTCGTATTGGGTGGATATTTGGGCATTTAACGGTATAGATTTTAAGAGGGCAATGTCGATAACGTCGGGGCGTCCTACGGGTCCGTAATGTGTCGGTTCTGTCGGTCCGAGTATAGTCAAGTCGTCGTGTCTGTCTTGGTAATTCAGCAGGACGCGACCTCTTGTGGTCGTCGTCCCGCTGTGCCATATGGGGGACTTCGCGTTGAAGTCCCCGATGGCAATTGTCTGGGGCCAGGAAAGGATTTTGTCTAAGTCATTGTCAAGTAGTGGTAGTCTGGGTGGGTGGTAACAGGACACCACCGCAACGTCTCCATGCCGTAGCGATCTCACCGCTATCGCCACGGCCTCTGTGTTTTGAGTTTGGAGCCGCTGCAGCGGATAGTGGTCGATGCACTTCTTTACTATGAGTGCAACACCACCCCCGTTACGGTTTCTGTCATGTCTGTATATGTCATAGTCTGGGATGGAGGTACGTGATGCCTCGCTGAGGTAGGTCTCCTGGACAGCCATAACGTCTATGTTTAGACGACCACAGTCTTGTTCTAGATGTTCCATTATAGCTTCCTCAGTTTCAACAGTTCGGACATTACGCCTCTTCCGGCACCCTCACGATTGGGCTGAATTTTACCAGTTTCGCGAAGCCGTCTTTCCACCGAGGCCAATGTTTGTCTATGAGGAATCGGTCGGTTTGAATATCTTTGGTGGTATAATCTTACTGCAGGGTTACTATTTCTTCTGGATTCGAAAAACACTTGGAGCATGTTGACATATTTGTCATTGGAATAAATATTATTTGCCGTAATTATTCCGATAATAAATTAATCAATTGGTACTAATTAATGGTTGACAGAGAGTGTCAATTTATTGATATGATAAATAACAATTTACATATTTGTTATGACTTCCGCTTACTTTATTTTTACAAATTTTCGCAATTACCCCTTTAGTGAACGATGACGTGTCTAAGTTCTTTACTAGAAAACTATCGGTTTTATCGAAAAATTCGAATATCGAAAGAGGTAAAAAAGTTGCGCAATAAATCAGTCTTCCCAATAAATATTTTTAAATAAATAATTTGCATCATATAAAAAATATCTAATAAAATACATAATATATTATTTTGGTTAAAAATTGACACTCAAATTTTCTTATATTTATAGGTCGTGCTTTACTGAAACCCAAAATATAAGATGCTGCAATACATAGTAATAAATTAAGTATAAAAGTCTCTATACAATAACTAATACTTGATAAACCTACTCTTAATTGTACTTACGTAAGAATAGGGATCTACAGTTATAATTTTATAATTTGGATTGTATTTTTGATAAGGAGTCAAACTAGCTCCGTTGTATCCAACATTTATTGGAATATGCTTTTCATCGTAGAAAATTTTTAGTTCATCTGTATGTGTATGTCCATAAAATTGACCTTTAATAATATGTGAAAATCTAAAAAATGACATATTTTGTAATAATAAAATACTATCACAACTTCTACCTTTTGATTAAATTGTTGTAGCTAACTTCCCATGGTTCAATGCACTCTTTATTCCCAACGGGTATATGAGTTATGATGTGTACGAATTGCTCATTTTTCTCAGCTTTTTCCAGTTCTGTACTTAAAAAGTGGAGTTGTTCATTTAAATATGTTGTATTATAAAGAAGCCACCTACAAGAAATTTTCAAATTTTGAAATATGGCTGTTTTCGATATTTACCAGTTTAAGTTACAGCATATATTATTATTCAAGGCGATAATTCTGAATTTCTTATTAACCACGTAAGAATAATAGCCTTGCTTCTCTACTGTTTTCAGAGATTCTTTGGACAACCAGCTGCTCCATAATTTTGAGAGTAACGTGTACAACCATTGGGCAGACAAACCAGCCTTTTCAATGCCGTCCTCAGAAGGAGGAAAACTAAAATTAAAAAGTTAAAAATTTCACAGTCATTTCAAAATATGTTTCTCTTACACATTTAAGGGTGCAGTTTCATGGTTGCCAATTGCTGACAACACTGGTTTATTTGGAAAAGTTTCGAATAAAGTTTTAAAAGTAATGTAAATGAGATTAGAATTATCATTAATAGACGCCTTCCATATGGTATGATCTATTATATCTCCAGTAAAATATACCAAATCTATATCCTACAAAATTAACTAATTAACAAAGATATTCTTCCTTATGGAGTGGGATATAAAAACCTTATGTGTTTGATTTATATGAAGCATAGTTCTTCCAAAAAGCCATGGCGGAACGTCGCAATTGTAATCTCCCCACAATCCGGCATTTGCACCAAAAACCGGGTTTCCTACATCTCTTTTACAACACAAAGGGTATCCACAGTTTTCTACTCCACCTACTTCATAATCTGGCGTAATATGAAAATCTGTGAGATGAAGTATTTTGAGTTGCTTACGGTCTTCGTTACGATTTACCTTGAAAATACGAGTATTAATCTGTTATACATGGCCATGTCAGTAGGAAGAAGGGCAAGGGGAAGGGTTGTTTCGGCTGACAAAATGTTGACCTTACCTGAAAAGTAGAAGATGGTTTGCCCTGTAGGAAATAGAAAACTCTTGGCTAAGGCCTTGATAGTGGGAATTTGATAATTTAAATATTTAACATTAAAAAAATATTTTAAATATGACGTAGAAGGTGTAGCAGTACAGCGTGTCGAAATTGGAGAAACGTTTTCTAAAGAATATAAAAATATTTTTTTCGAAAACTGCCATCAAAAGTCGACATTTTCGTTAATTTTCAGTTGACATAGTGAATCTTTTTTGTTCTAGAACGTTAAGGTCTCTTTTGTTCTAGAGCATAAAACAAAATCATTCAACCAATTAAATCAAATTAATTTGTCATTTTTTTCGGAACTTTATGATTTTATTAATTAATCCATATACAGTTTAAGTAATATAACATTTGAATGCAGTAAACAGTAACAATTATAAATAGGACGATTTATCGGATCGTAACTTTTAGTTCTGGGTGTTCAATGAGGCTGTTGGTGTAATTGTTTAAGTTCACTGCGCACGTTGTATTATTGGCAAGTTTGGCAGGCTCTGCTGAAGTGGTAAGAACTTATTTGCTATTGATATTTTATTTTGTATAGAATCTTCTACATGTCTCCGGTACCGTACTAGAACGCCACCCCCCATGTCGTATAATGGTGGTTATGGTGGTAATATTGGCTCCTGCGTCGGCTAATAGAGTGGCGGAAAAACGTTTAAAGTAGTGCCTTGTAGTTTCCGGATGAGACAAATTGAGATAAGTTGCTATTTTTTTTGGTACATTTCACATTCTCTATTTTGTTGACGCCAATCACTTGGTTAAGACATTTTTCCTTAAATCATTTAGTCTGAACTTGAAACCACAAAACATCTCAGAGTATGAGTTTTGAAATCGGGAATCCTTATACTAATAATTGAAATCTTTGTCTTAATTTATATTAGTTTGAATTACCTTTTCTAGCAAAAATCTATTATCAGGTGCTTCTTGTAAAAATCTGTCAATTTCCTCTTTCGATAGAATTCTGGACTTTTTCGGGCGGTATCCAACTGATTTGCTTTTCAAATATGGTATTAGTTTTGGAAATTTTCTAATATTTTTTGGCATTCGGTATACTTTTTAACATGGAATATATTAACCATAACGTCGAAGGTTTAATTTTAATAATTTTATGTTCGAAATATGCCAGTACCTAATACCGCTTCGGACACTTATTAAATTTTTTTCGAACTATACCACCATTTTGATTCGTTGTATGCAATCTCGTACTGCCTTGACGAATTTTTGGGGATTAATTGTGAAACAGCACTTTGTGCCGCTTCCAATACTTCCCCTGGTCAATGATCGTTTTCACCTTCCGAGCTCATATTGAATTAAACACTCTTAGAATATGAATTACAATATATAATTCTGACACTATTTCTGGAGTTGTTTGGAGTTGTGGGGAGGGTAGCAAAACTACAGCACTTAGGCCCCATTGGGCCCCTTGTACTTCCTCCCATTAGAGAGGCCAACCAGCCTATTACAGTGAAAAAGGTGGTGACGTTGCTCAGGGGGATCTCTCTAATATAGGCCATTAAAGGCCAGTGTTCTCCCAACATGGACTATCTTGTTGACGAGACGGCAGTGCATTCACATAGTACATGCAATATTGTCTCGTCTTCCTGTTCACAGCCCCTACAAAGAGGTGTTTCACACTATATTGTAAAGGTGTTTCCTTAGCCAACAGTGTCCAGTTTGAATACCTGTCACCAGGCGAAGATTTGACCTAGACATGGCCAGGTATTTTTTGGCTGTGTCTTTGTTAGGATACACTAAGAGTTCCTTAGCGAAGTGACAGCTAATCGTTTCATCCCACCGTTTCATGAATTCTTTGTGGGTGTCTTCCTTAATAATTCCAGCAAGTGCCGACAACGGAAGCACACTAGTTTGTCAGCTTCTTTATTGCTATAGCACCGCTCGTGTCCCTTTACCCAGCAGACAGATATGCTGTTAGAGGCCGAGGCCACAACCAGTGCTTCATGGCATTCCCATACTGTCCTAGTCATTATCTTATGTTTGCGCAAGGTCAGTGCAGTAGTGCTTTGTTTACTATCGTGTAGATTCTGATGGTTTTACCCGTAGTATGCCTGCGGGCAATTTCCTTAGCGGCTATGGTTATGCCTGCTAACTCCGGTAGCATGCCTATCCATTGCCCACTGATATCGGATGTGCAGGGATCTAGAGTATATTCCACATCCTGCATCCTCCTTCCTTTTTTATCCGTCTGTAAAGACGCTGATTACATCTCCACGGGCGGTCTCCTCCTGTCTCTTTGTGAGTACGGTGTAGGGTTTGCCAAATGCAAACCGGGGAGAAATACTGTCAGTGTCTGCCTGCAGAAGGGACGTCTTCCTGACGACCTCATTCCATAGGCGACTTCTAACTTCTCCGCATCCTACATCCGGTTTTAAACCAACGTTCTTGAGGCGAAGTATAGTTGCCAAGGCCATTTCTCTTAGATAAATATCCAGAGGTGGCAGACACAGCATTACCTCCATTGCTATGCTGGGTGTTGTTCGCATAGCTCCAGTTATGCTCAGACAGGTAATCCTTTGTACTTGGCTGAGCTTTTGTCTAGCTGTCGTCTGCTGGGATTTCGGCCACCAGACGACAGCCCTATAGGCTAACATTGGCCTCACTATGGCAGTGTATATCCACATAACCACGTTTGGTTTCATGCCCCAGGTTTTGCCAACAGTTCTGCGGCACTGCTCATAGGATATGCACGCGTTTTTTAATCTTCTTTCAAAGTGAAGATTCCATGTTAGCTTTGCATCGAGTGTAACCCCTAAGTATTTCACATCAGATGCAAAGCTTAGCGTAATGTTTAGGAGAGTTGCTGCCTTTATTGGCCCCAGTTTTCTCTTCCTCGTGAAGAGGACCATTTCCGTCTTCCTGGGGTTCACTGACAGAGCATGGTCCTCACACCACTTTTCAATAATTCTTAGGGCTGTTTGTATTCTTTGGCAAAGGATGCCTTCGAATTTTCCGCTAATCAGCATAGTGAGGTCATCTGCATAGGCGACACTACTTTTTCGAATAACTAATTTTGATTGTTTATTAGGTTGCTATCGTTATGATAGTCACCACGCCAAACCCGTCTTCACTCAAACATGGTTGAAAGGATTTCAAATATAAAGTAAATTGTTGTATATAACACAATTATTGTCTTATTTTATTGCAGTTTTCGAAAAAATATTGTTTGCATCTCGCGTTCTAGATACAAAAATAACTGTTCTTATATAAACTTTTGTCATTTTATCATGTATTGTGCACCGAAAATCTCGTTTTAATATCTTCATTTATTCAAAAGATAGAGGCGTAACATTTTTCTTTAAAATTTCACCCTGTATGTCAAAAACGATAGCTTTTATATACATAATCAGAAAATATCATCAAATTTGGACGCAGAAAATCCTCTTTATCTTTTGATACGTTATAGTGTTACACATTTAGAAAGTAAAACAAAAGAAATCAATCTTACCCGAGGGATTTTCTTTAAGGATTTTGAAGGTACCTTCAATCTCCATTTCAATGCAGGCTTGCTATAGTAGCATTGTTGGTTTTGTAATATTATAGAACAAGCTAATTCTGCATCTAATATTTTACTGTTGTTCAAAATATATTCTAATGTCGGCTAAAAAATTAAAAAACCATCACCATATAATCCACCGAAAACAAGTTGTTAGTATTCAACAAAGAAAATTATATTTACCAAATGTATTCTGATTACGTCCTCACAAAAATCAGACACAGTGAGTGTTGCTAGAGCGATATAAATTTTGCAGACTGCTCGTGCTAAGTATGTTACTGTTACTTTCTTCTGCTGTATTTGATTTACCAAAAGCATGCAAGTTCCGCATAGTGTTTTATCAGCTATAAATGATCGGTCCTCGGGACTTGTTACGTTGAACTGGTCCAATATTTTTTTTAACTTGTCAGTATTCATTAATTTGAATTTATTCAGTTTAAACAGTTTGGCGAGTTCTTCCTGAAGATTGCCTGAGAATATACAATATTGTTCAGTAGAATACCTTATACAAAATGGTATAATTATAAAATTGACTTGCATATAAAAGAAGGAAAGGGGAGGCAATATTATATTCAGGTGTCAAATGGGATTATTAGTTTTTGAAAATTAATTTTACTATTTATTTAAGAGTGCTCATTATTTATTTAATGATGTTAACTTTATGTGAATAGTGAACTAACATACTATCTTTCTACATTTAAGAGTGATAAGGATACCGCCTGCTATTTAAAAAAAATGAATATTTAACTAGGATTCTTTGCGTTTCTTAATAAAATGTATAGGATTAATTTTTACTTGGTTAGAATATGATTTGATATAATTTTAGTTTTAAAATCAAGTAGGAATCTTAGGACGATTCAGTCATAATGTCAGTAATTTCAAGGGAAGATAGGGAAAAACGAGTAGAATACGAATACGCGATTAAAAAAAATTTAAAATACATATTTACGCTGAAAAAAATATTTTCAAATCATTATTTTAGCCCCTTTTCCGACCGATTCTGACCGCTGACCTACAAAGGTTTATCGAGAGTGAATACTGATCTACCTTATTATTCGGTCACTAACCTAGTTTTTACTGCATTTTTAATGCGAAGTGAACGACAACGAATAAATAGATCGTTTTACCTAAATAGATATATGAATGAATAAGATATTTTTTATATTTTAAATATTAACAAGTGTAATTTATTTGTTAATAAAGACAAATGCACGATAATAATTGTTTTTGAATGTTAGGTTATTACAATTTAGTATTTTTAATATTGTTAAAGTTTTCACTAGTCTGGAGTCTGGAATTGTGGGGAGGGCAGCAAAGCTACAGCACTTAGGCCCCATTGGGCCCCTTGTACATCCTCCCATTAGAGAGATCAATCCACCTGAGCCGCCAACCAGCCTATTACAGTGAAAAAGGTGGTGACGTTGCTCAGGGGGATCTCTTTAATATAGGCCATTGAAGTTTTCACTAGTTTTTTAATTGAGTTTTCAGTATTATGTTCAATTAAATTAATTAATTATTCAGTTTATAGTACGTATATCTAGTAGCGTGGCCCAAAAAAAAACGATTTTTTTTTCGTGTCTCATGAAAATATGTTAGTTTATCATGCTTTAAGCGCTCTCTCAAAAAATCAGCTCAAAAAAATGGTTTTAGAGGTCGCTCAAAATTTTTAAAAATTTATACTATATAAAATTTATACCTGTTTTCGAGCGACCTCTAAAAATAAATATCTACGAACTAATATTTTTTTTTCTTGAATTTGATGAACAAAAGAATAGAAATAAATCACGACACTTAAATTTAAAAAAATTTAAATATGATAAATATTTGAAACTCACAGTGCGGTAGTAAATTTTGCCTCGAGAAATTTTTTAAGTGTCTAATGATTTATTTCTATTCTTTTGTTTATCAAATTCAATAAAAACAATTATTATTAGTTCGTTGATATTTATTTTTAGAGGTCGCTCGAAAACATTTTAGGTGCACTACTTTTAAAGTTAAAATAATTATGAGTGACTTGGAAATAAAAATATAGATTTGAAATTTTCAGAATCGAGATTTTTTTCAACTTAGAAAATGATAAAATAACGAGAAAAAAATTAAAAAAAAAATTCAATTTTTGACGATTTTGGAAATTTTTAAAAATCTTGAGCGACCTCAAAAAAAATTCTTTTTGAGCTGATTTTTTGAGGGGACTCTTAAAACATGATAAACTAACATATTTTCACAGGAAACACGAAAAAAAAATATTCGTTTTTTTTTGGGCCACCCTAAATTATCTAGTGACTTATTGCTCTTCAAAGAGTAGTAAGTATTGTACCTATCTAATTAAAATGCCAGTACGGCTAAAACAACACTCCGCTGTCCATGTCACTCTGCACTTTGATTTTGAAACTAACAATTGCAAAATTCAAGACGAGTGGGGAAATCAGCTGTTTCACTTCAATATTCGAATGCTCTTGGTCTGCAGGCGCGTTCCCGGTTAGAAACAGTGACGCAAAGTAGAGCGCCGAATTGGCAGGAGTTAAGGGATAATTTGATTATCTTTTAAAAGGTCGAGAAATTTTTTTTTCGATTTTCTGACTTTATTAGGTCTACCGAATATGTGGTTAAAATTTATGACATTATGACTGAATTACCCTGTATACAATAGATTGTACTCCAAATTTATGTCATAACTTCAGGAGATTGTTTCTTAGTTCGTTTAAGATTAAAAAGCCTTAATTCAGTCCATTGTAGAAACTTGGTCTAATATTATAATTAATTAAAGAGAAAAATTTAGGACTTTAGTATATAGCCTAGTGACATAGGCTGAGTCAGTATCACTAAAAATCGGAGAATTTCGATGTCATTGAATATTTTGAAAATTTAAAAGCTGAATTTGATTCCTAATTTCATTTTACATAAATTTAAAATTTCTTTAAAACTATTCATCGTAAAGTATATAGGAATGTTTCGATCGAAATACAAGTTTAGAAATAATATAAAAAAATATGGGCTTAGAAGTTTTGTATTTTTTTTGGTACTGAGACTTCTATTTTTAAGTAAATAATACCTGTACTAAAATTGTGTACTAACAAAAAAGATGTTTAAATTTTATTTGTGAAATGGATAGTTATACATATATAAATTTATACTCTGTACCTGTTGTATTACATATCATATTTTCAACTAAAAAATCAAAGTAGAAGAAACTTTCTTTTTAGAAATGACATTAGAATTTAATTGCTCTTTTTCCACAATAGTCATAGGGCCTCCCAATAACTTCTTCACTGATTGACAAATTTGTGTACAAATTCAGAGACTTTTTTTTAGTTATACATAAAGTTAACTCTCTGAGATATCTGAATAAAGTAATTGCCATGCCATCAGTTAAAACTTCCTCAAAACTTTATAACTCGAATATCGGTGGTTTAATCTAAATTGATCCAAGGAACAATATCCTGTTATAACATGAATTAAAGAACACCCTGTAATATGCGTTAGTAAAGGTTGATTCAGAAAAGAATGTTCAAATTATAAAACAGTATTTCTTCAACAAAATAATTTATAATAAACTGTAAAATAAAAATTATTGTCATTCACTATAACCATACGAAACTACTTTTTCACATTTTAAATTAATTTTATAAAAAACAGTAATGTGTAAATTAGTGCAATACTTCCTACAATTTAAGTAGATCAGTTTTCTTTTCATTAGAAAATTACAAATTTTGTGTGTAAAATTTTTATCTTAGAATTCTATTTAGTTTTTGTTTAAACCCAACACAGGTGATTTAAATAAATTTATTATATTTTAGGAATTTATTTATTTTTTTTTAAAAGGAGCTTTATAAAAAATAGAAAATACTATTAGAGAAAAAAATACTTACATATATCTCGTTCAAAGGGATCTTGGTTGATGTTAAATCCATCATTTAGCACTGGGTATAGCAAAAGAATTACAAGGCAATCTAGAAATAACTTCATTTTCCTTTCTAGCTCGTGTCCAGTTCAAGAAGACCCTCGCACTACTACTTAACGCAAATAAAACGCAATGCTTTAAGTTCAAAATAATGTCGAATAAGAATTTACATTTTCATTATTGTCTTTATCAGTTTTTATCTACCGAGGCGTTATAAAATTGTTAGCAACAATATTACTGGGTTACTGTATTAGTTACTGGCGGAAGTATATAAAAGAATTTACTATCTACAATTTTTTAAATAGTTTTCCTGTTTTGCGTTTCAGTTTTTTTAATGCAATCGAATTACTTATATTAATTATAAATGTCCGTGAACCCCACTTTTTAACAAAAACTAATGTAATTTCATTTCAACGTTAGATACTCAAGGGCAGGCTGATTTGATATGATCCCGTTACTGCGGTACTTAGATAAGTACCTAACACGTTGTCCTTTCTCTGGGAGTGCTTTAATTTTCGTTTCGTAGTTACTTACCTATCTTAACATTTGTTCTGTCCGCTTATAAAATGTAGGTAAAATGCAATTACGAATATACAATGCGGGGATAGATTTTTATTATTATTTTTATATGAAGAAAACACCCTGTGTCCCCTAATTATTATCTACAGGGGAAACATGTTTTTTCTTTTGATTTACAGAATCAGAATGTTATGAATATTAGTTGAAATGTTGATAATTTTTAATAAAAAAATATCATTATTAAATATTGCCTGTCTGTTATTAAAACGAAATAAATTTGTTCCATCTTGATATTAATAATAACAAATAACTACCACATTGAAAATAAATTCATGCCAAAAAGAAAAGAATACTACAACTAAAATCAAATCTTTTTTAAGAATTTTCTTGTTAGAAAATAGCATAGTAAATACGAAGGTAAGATTCATAGTTCCGATTCTGTAATTTCAAACATGTTTTATTTCTTAATAAAATTAAAAGTAAATCTACTTTTCTTTTCAACTATTTCACTTTTTCTGAGCTTCTTAATTCCCTTCACACAAAATCTAAATGTGTCTATGACAAATCGATTATTGTGACAAGCAAAGCTTTTTATGAGACCTGTTAAAAAAAATTAAAATAAAAAGTTTCCTCCTGGCAATAGTTGTATATTAAGCTCTTACAAATTAGTCGGCCTCCACTGCTGTTTAAAAAATGTGACAGCTGCTACGGAGAATTACAGCCAAATTGTTTAAAAACTGTTAGTTAGGCAATGAAGGTTCCTCGAAAATCGAAAAAATGATGTTTTCAAGTTTAATTATGAGTTGAAATTTGAATGAAAACCAAAAAATTACTAAAGAGTGAGACATAATTAGGTGTAAAAAATTTAACCAAAACTTCCTTAGACTAAAACAAAGCAATTACTAACGTTACCAAAATGGTTCCTTAAGAACTTATGGACCTTCAAAATTCCATTTTAGATAAATTTTTTTAATAACAGTCATTTTTTAATGTATTTGAATAAAATGTGACCGAGAAGATATTTTTTGGATAGTCGCACATGAATATAAGCTATTTACGGCTGATTCAGGTCTTCCTCAAGGGTCTAATTTTGGACCCCTTTTATTTTTGAAATTTATTAACGATTTCTCAAAAATGATTATCTACCTGCAATAAACTGCTCTTTATGGATGGTTTAAACATTTATTGTAATATTGAAAATGTTAGCAAGTCCGAGTTTTTACAATCTCAATTAAGTTTAATCGAGGAGTGGTGTGAAATATTTATGCTGAAATTAAACATAGCTAACTGTAAAATTGTTAGTTGTTCAAAAATTTACCAACAATTCTTTAAACGGTATTGTTTCCAAAACGATTGTTTAATGGAGGACTTGGGTATTAAGTATATTAGTTTTTCGGAGCATGTCCAAAATGCAGCAATTGTCCTTTACAATGTTGGGTTTTATTATAAGAAATTGTAATTTTCTAATAACATGTATTAAACCATTGAGTACTATTTCTAACCCAAGGATTAAACATAATTATGAATAGTGTCCTACTTTTATATAATATAGATATTTAATAACAACTATATGCCAATGTTACAATGTATTACCTTTTTTAGCAACTGGCAATACTCTCTCAAAATCACCAACATACAGGGTGTTAGAAGTTTGACTACCTTAATTTTAACAGGCGATAGAATACATTAAAATAAATAAAAAATCTTATATGACATAGGCCCTAAACTCAACCATTTCCGAAAAAAAAATATCAAAATCTCCAATTTGTTGTATAAAAGTTCGATTAATTAAGGAATATTGACATAACTGCGTGCATAGAATACCATAAAATACAATGTTTATCACTTTTTTCAACTTCTTTATGCTTAATTCTAAAAAATAATTAGCGTTGCAATAAATTTAAAATTCTATAAAATTCATATCGAGCAATGTGGCAGCGGCGCGGCGGATAACACGCGGTACTAGCTGTCCAGCAATATGCAGTTCAGTTGGTATCTGGAATTGGACCGTGTCTGAGTGTTTTTTGCCTACTACTATTTCCTTTTCTTTGAGGCGTTTTCCAGCGAGTGCGCGAAAATTGTATTCGAAGGTATTGTGCGTGCATCGAAAATGGTGGTGGACATTTTGAGCATATTATGTTGTAGTTTATTTTGTACTTGTACCTAAATTATTTTTACTACGTATGATTATTTGGACGACGTGAATCTTTGGGTACTTTAAATACATATTTTTCAAATTCATAATTTGATTAAAAGTTAAGTTCCTGTTTTAAGAGATTTATAGTTACTAAAATTCGAGCTAAAATTTAAGCACAACACTATCTTCGTACTACAAAATCGATACATTTTATTTCATTTATTTAAAAACTAGAAAACAATTGTCTTGAAATTAACTAAATGTTTCACAATAACAGTTGTTTACATTTTTTCCGTAGGACAAGTCTGCCGCGTGCACACGTGGTATACATCAGCTGTGTGGCGTTAGGTTAAGCGCTGTTGTCTCGTTGTGATGAAACTCCCCAATATTAATACCCACTGTATTTTGAAAACTGTTAATCTTACGCCCCTTTAATATAAAACTTTTTTGTTCATTTATGATTACTCTATCTCATGCTTAAGTAATGGCAGTCAAACTTCTTACACCCTGTATATGATTTTTTACAATTTTAATACTATCTCCGATAAATGCGATATTAAATTTTCGTTTGTTACATCTGTAAACAACAGCTATAGAAAATAATTAATTTTTTTTTACTTTTCTTTTGGAAAAGTTGCTGGACACTTGAGAAAACAATATCTTATCGTTTCTGACAAAAAAATTAAAGTTTGCAAAAACTTGATAAATTAATATAACTATGGAATGCAAAAACGACTAAGTAGACATTGTTTTCTCAAGTGTCCAGAAATTTTATTTTCTTAGCTTTAAATGATCTAATTTCTCTCATAACTTTGACCCTTTGGAACAAAAAAAATGGTTGGATGGATCAACTTGTCAATTTACAGAGTTATTGTGGATATATTGAGTTGTAAAAATTTAACTTAACATTAGTCTTTTCATAAATATTTGTAAATCAGCAGTAGATTTTCTAAAAAACTGTAAAAAGTCATTTTTTGCACTATTTTCAAATTAATGTCAAGGATGAAAAAAAAATGTCTTCGAAAACTATGATAGGTCCGTGAGTTGGATTTACTGTGCAATAACTTGTTACTGTTGTTACTGAGATATCGATGATTAAAAAAAAGTATCATTTTTCTTTGAACCATCAATATCTCGGTAACCAATAGTCGTACGGACACCTTTCAAAAAGCAAATTGAATTTGATTGAACAAGCTAAATGATCGATTGAGTTCGAAAAAATATTTCAGAGTCCGTGGACAGTCCAAAAAAATGTTTTTTTTTCCCGAGCCATTTCTTTTGATCCCTCGATAATCATAGCTCAAAAAGATTGTTTGTCAAAAGACCTTGAAACTAGAGACTTAAAGCTTCAAAGCGTTTTTTTTTTTCATCTCGACACGACCATTTTTCACTAAGATACAGCCTATCAAATCACAAACAAAATTTATGAATTAATTTTGTTCCTTTAATTTTTTAATATATTACATTATAGTTAAATTCAAAACTATATTAGATATATTTGTATTAGGTATTTACAACCAGACGGCTTTCGCAAAGTGATGACTGTAAATGGCGTTCAATATGCTTGCTTGTGTCTAAAGTATGTGCAGTGTAACTAGTCCAAGAATAATTATTACATTCAGCAGTTAGAAATCCAAACCCAAACCGGCCGCTCTCAAATCAACGAAGCCTATATCCTGTAAGTTCGCATTATATCAAATCCGTAAAGGCCAATAACATATCCCATTGACGAGTTGCCTAATGTTCTAAATACGTTTGTTAATAACAATGGCTTGTTTACTAGATTTTATTCAATTTACAACCTGATAGTAAGAAAGAAATAATTTGTATTACACCAATTTACAAATATTTGCTTTAGGTTTATAACTTAGGCAATAGTACATAATAGAGATTAAGATTTAAAATATGTGATCCGCTGTTTTGTAATTTTATGGTTTTGCCACTTCTGAATACGTTTGTTTGCAACTAGTAAGCCAAGTGTACCCACTTAAAATTCTATATTGGTATATCTATTTGCAAGGGAAATTCTCCCAGCACATAAATTAGAATTATCTACCCATAAATTTCAGTTATCAATCAATAGGTTAATAAAATATTGAATATATGTTACAGCTTTTGTTATCTAACTAAATTTCGTTCGTAGGTTTAACGCAGGTACTGCAAAAAGAAATTAATTTAAGGGCCCATTCGCACGAAAAAGCATTTTCTGCAAAGACAGAACATTTTATAAACATTTAAGTAATAGCAGAACTATTTAGGCGTTACCAAATAACTACTTATGTTATGACACCTGACTGTTTTCTTCTCTAAAAAATAACAGACAATTTATTTGATTGTAATGAAACATAGGTGGGGATTGTATTAATTTTTCTTAAATATTATTATAAATGTGACAACTTAATTGTAGATGTTTATGGTAAAATTCCATCCAACCATCATTTTCAATAAGTAATCACTTTTTGGCAGTATAAGTTGAACATCACAGTTTCCAGTAATGTGTCACTATTATTTATAATTTCAGCTATATTTCTACATTCTGCTTTAATATACTCTACGTTGAAAGTAAATATTAGTTTAAAATTGGTGAATATCCTTTCCGAAAGTGTAATTTTGAAAATACTTACCTAAGTATACATAATACAGTCCGTACACTATTTGTTGATATATAATTCCAAGAAAAGCCTAAGCCAATAAAGTTCTATTATCGGAACTATTAGAACAATTTACCGCGGCAAGGGCGTGCCTTGAAATTTGCCGCCAATCTCTTTCTACCTCGGGTGTCCAAGAAAGTGACGCAGGGTTCTTCTTGGAATTTTATCTCAACAAATATCGTACGGATTGTATACTGGATTCTATAAGGCTACAGCAAACGCGCTGTAAGAAAACCAGATAAACGAATTCTCTGAATGTGGAAGTGTGTTTAATATCTGGTATTGGTTAAAATTTGACGTCACGTACACCTTGGTCAATAGCAGGACGACTAGTAGCTTTTAAACTAGATATTAAACCCTTAAAGTAACTATATAGAAGATAATTATATAATTTCTTGCCTGGTTTTCCCACAGGGTACGTACTACAACATGGTTGATTAATTACACAGGACCACAAAAAAAAATGAGTGGAGGGTTCCTTGAACCATACCAAGTGGACTATATGTTTTTTGGGTCGCTGAAACCGAATCCGAAACCTGTTTTGGCCTATCACGTCAGCGTTTTTTTCTAACCTCAAAAAACAGCTTGAAACTATGAAACCCAACAATATTAACCCTTAAACCATATAACCCTATACTTTCATAACTCAATAACCTTGAGATCGATAACCTATAACTCTAAAACCCATAACCTGAAAACCTATAACCTCAAAACTCGTAAATCTCAAATCCCAATAAACTGCAAACACAAAATGAGCAAAATAAAAACAAAAAAACTTACAGGCTAAACTCAAACCTCAATCTCGGAGAGTTTTAACTTCATAATTCTACACCTCCATCACTTCATAACCTCATAATCCAAAAACTTTATAACCCTCATATGAAAATTGCATGTCACAATATAATATAAGGTTATGAGGTTTTGGATAACTGGGGTTATAGGCTGTTGGGGTTATAGGGTTATGGGACTTCAGGGTTATAGGACTTCAGAGTTATGGGGTTTATGGGGTTTATGGTTATGAAGTGATGGATGTATAGAATTATAAAGTTAAAACTCTCCGATATTGAGGTTTAAATTTTGCGTATAAGTTTTTTGTTTGTTTTGCTCATTTTGCGTTTGCAGTTTATTGGGATTTGAGATTCATGAGTTTTGAGGTTATAGATTTGCAGGTTATGGGTTCTAGAGTTATAGGTTATCGATCTGAAGGTTATCGAGTTTTGAAATTATAGGGTTAGATGGTTTAATGGTTGATATTGTTGGGTTTCATAGTTTCATAGTTTCAAGCTGTTTTGGTTAGAAAAAACGCTGACGTGATGGGGCAAAACAGGTTTCGGATTCGGTTTCAGCGACCCAAAAAACATACAATCCACTTGGTCTGGTTCAAGGAACCCTCCACTCATTTTTTTTTGTGGTCCTGTGTTATTATAATAAGGTTCCATTATATTTTGAGTGAAATATTGAGAAACCTACTAGGAAATTAGCTTTTGAACAAATAAGGTAATTTAATTAATTAAAGGTTGTAAGATCACATTTTTGTTGATATGAAATAAAATGGGACAATTTTTCAAACTTTTGTTTTCATCGTATCACAAATTATAGGGGATATTTTCCTATAAACCATGATGCGCTGTATCGTTTTTATATGAAGGAAATTGAAAATTGGTATAGTTATGTTTTGAAAGACCCTAAATATTTCGACTTGTTTAGCCTTTAGTTATACCGGACGTTTCTATTGCTGTAAATCAGAAATATTTTATATCACAACTTTTTTGGGGTTATAACTTTGAGACAATATAATTTTTCTCTGTTTTATAATTCAATACAACGAAAATGTGCTTTTGTTCAAATTAGTTAAACCATCTGGATAAAACCAGATATTATTCCTCGGAGTTTGGTTTTTGATGGAGACGTTAAACCATCTGGATAAAACCAGATATTATTCCTCGGAGTTTGGTTTTCTGATGGAGATATACTTTTAGGTTTGGTTTTGTGTTAAAAACTTATTCATTCTCTTGTGTTCCTTTATGGAAATTATTTAGATCTTGTAATTCTTTTAAAAAGTAATATTAGTCTGTAGTCTGTAAAAATTAAACATATCAGAACAAAAAACGTACCTACTTTTGACGGATACACCGTTAATTTTTTTCTAGTGTTCTCTAAAACGAGTCGATTTAGAGAATTTTAAAAAGTGTATGCAAAAGGTACGAAAACGAAAACAAAAAACTTTAGGTACCTCATAAAGTTATGACGAAACATAGTCGTGGGTTGCAGCATAACAAACAGTCTATTTAAACTATTTAAAAACTAATCGAAACAGGTTATTTTTGCCTACTTCATTTCAGTGCGATATGTTGATTACTTTTGTAGATTCTAGCAAATTTATAAAAATAAAATAGTTTCAACAACGGTAGACCTAGATCCCATAGAAAAAAGTTTATTTTTTAATAATCTCTGTGTACTAGAACCTTGTCAACACATTTGATCAAATATATTTAATTGATCGCTAATACAACAATTAATTTAAAACGTTTTATGATGATACCTGATGACTGTATTATTTTTATGAGAAAAGAAAATTTAAAGTAAAATTGGATAGTTTCACTATAATGTAACAATGCGATAATTTCGTTATAATGTTACTGCCACGAAAACAATTAAAGCTTCATTAAAAAAATTCAAGCACACAAATCTCAACAATTAGATCGTAATATGCAAATAAAACGATCTTTTCTATGAAACGACATCATTTATATTGAGAAAACTATCATAAACCATAACATGGTATTGGAGTTTCTTATGCTATCGATACGAACATTTTACTTTGAACATGATTTTTTATACATTGTGTAGATTTGAACTGCCGTAAATCTGTTGATTGCGTAAAACAAGCAGTCGCGTCAGTCGTGGACATTTTTTCTTTAAAATATGACCCTGGCTTTAAGTTTACAGTCACTAAAATCAAAACACATCCTAAAGCATATGAGACCCACATATTCAATTCCATATAGGTAATTCACCACAACATGGACTCCACGTCGACTTCGTAAATATAGCTGGGCGAAAAAATGCCCCTCAGCCACCATCATGCTCTGTCCACTAAGTTGTAATTTTGTTTAAAACTACCCACTGCGTACGTTTCGTTGCTATAGGCACCGGCTTGAGAGCTGGACGGTCTCTTTTGAAAGGAAATGTCTTTAGGAGTCGAGGATTCGGGTTCCTGTTTGGAATTTTTGGCATTTTCTTTGGCTTCTTGGTTGTGGTGATATATCCTGGTGCAAGCTAATATTGTGCTCAGGAGGACCATGAATTCTATCAGAACTACTACCAGTCCAACTCCTAGGAACACCATGAAGTGTTCGCGATACCACAATTCTAAACCATCTTTGCAACCCTGAAATAAGAAAATTATTAAAAATACGAAAACATAGATAACACCCGTTGAAAATATCTTTCCATCTGTTGCAAATGTATGTATGTTGTATTCAATGTGAGAGGGTGGTATTTGTACTTCACTAAACCTGATTTTAGAAAATTTCTAAACATCATTTGTATTTCAGAAATCATTAAATGTCATTTCGGACCACAATAATGGTGTATTGAAATTTACTTCACAAGAAATGCAATTGAAATAGATGTTAATACCTATCTCAGCTCCAATTTATTACGAGTACCCTGCAGGGTCTGCCTTAATTCGACTGTCAAAATTCTACATTGTGTTTTTTGATCAAAATTAACAGAAAAAGTTCAAATGAACTAGAGTTAAATTTTGACTCCTTACAAAGACCTAGTAACTTACAGACAACCTATTTACTGATAATGTTTTTTTATATCTTCTAAATCATCAGATCTCTCATCAAAACTCAAGTTTACAGGGTCACAAAAAAATGGTTTGCAGGGAATCAATTTTTTTCATTGCCGCCTTAATTCTATTATTTTATTTTATTTCCATTTTGGTATATTTTATGTCGGCCTATTTCTACTACTATGACTAAACACCGACGCCAAGAGACGAACAACCCCCCCTTCCCCAACCAACCCAACTTGATAATTTTGCCGAACCCCCTAGGAACCTTTTACTTTCCTAATATTGTTTAGACAAAGGGCCAACAGTTTTACATCGTAGGGATGGTATGTCTTTCTATACCTCGCCTAAATTTGTGTTAGCTTCTGTGAATATACTGACATACAGGCCAGTAGAATGTGGACGAGTATCGCGAGCCTTCTTCTCCAAGTACTAATCGCGATGAGCGTTGCTTGCATTCTCTCTATTGTTTCTTTACAAACTTTTTTTTTGTCATGAAAAAGTAGATTCTGCTCAATTTTTTTGTGACTCAGTAAGAATATGTCATCAGTAACCAAAAACTAATAGCAAATTTCATGACCTGTTGACAATGTCATTTTTTTTAAATATTTAATAGTTTCAGTGACAAATGTCGAAAATGTTTTGGCTATTGGTAGCCCATATTTATACAAATTTAAAAAAAATACGTTATCTGCAACCTACTTCTCAAGTATCGATTCTAATTCTGATGTAACATGAAAAAGTGATGGCAATTAAAAATGTTTGCTTTTCACAGTTTTTGATAAGGAATGCATTCTGTTGTAATGTTATAATCAACAATAACACACTGTGATGTTTATCTCCAGTTATAAGTACCTAAATATATATTTGTGTTTTTTAAACACTAAAGATGATTATTTAAGTTTGGTATACAAAGGATATCCCATGCAAGAAGTATTTTTGATAGAAAACACAGGTTTTAAATTAAAAATTGAAAAAATATTTATTGATTCATATATAGGGTTATGTATGGAATAGCATATCGGCCTCCACTATTTTGTCGAAATTTCCATAACAGTTTTGCATAAATGCTGCTGATTTCATTGATATAGCTCTCAATTTCCTCCTTCAAGGCGTGGATGGCCGTGGACTTGTTAAACTTCAAAAAATCCAAAGGCGTTAAATCGTATGATCTGGGTGGCCAATTCCGATCACCAAAACGGGATATTACACGACCAGGAAAACACCCATGCAGTATTTGAATCGGGCTGTATGACATGTGTCACCGTCTTGTTGAAACCACATGTCATCTACATCCATATCTTGCAATTTATGCACAAATAATTGTATTATCATGTCGCGATAGCTAGCACTATTAACTGTTATTGCCTGACCAACCGCATGTTCGAAGAAGAATGATCCAATGATGCTTGCAGTCCAAAATCAGCATCAAATATGTTGTGGATGTATTTGTTTTACAACAATCATTCATGGATTTTCTAAACCCCAAACGCGAGGATTTTGTCGATTAACGAAGCCATTAAGATGAAAATGAGCATCATCGCTGAAGATCATTTTTTTCGCAACATCAACATCCACTTGTTGTTCCATAATTTATTCAATAAACTCTCTGGGTGGTTAGTAGGCTTCAGTACTTGAGTCAATTGAGCTTTGTGAACATGAAGATGTAAATCTTTCGTGAGAATACGCTGTAGAGAGCTTCTCGAAATGTCCAAACTTTGACCACGGTACCGAATTGATGTTCCTGGACTCTCACGAATTGCTTTGATGTTTTGTGTTGAACGACTTGTTCAAGGACGGCCAGAGTGTTTAAAATCACTAATTGATCCAGACTCCCAGAATTTTTCAATTAACTTTTACAAAGTTGATGGGATTAAATCACTATTTCGACTATATTTTGTACGAAAATTGCGAAAAGTAGCTGTCAGATTCATTATTTTTAAAATATTGCTCAATAAAGAGAACACTTTGTTTTTTCGTGTAACGCTCTATTTTTAATAACCCTGAACTGTCAGCTGTCACAAATGACGCAAAATTCAAATCTTTCGTGAATTTTGGGACACTCGATATGTTCCATAGAATGAATAACATTTTAAATATGTAGTACCTACCTATTTCAATAAATTTTCATTTTTTATGATATGAGTCAGTGCATTTTTTAAGTCAAAATCACTGAGCGACAAAAGTCATAATACACTACCGATTAACAGCGCCGCAGGTGAAAAATTTTAGAGGTTTTATGGAAAGGAATTTTGAAATAAATAATAATATTTCTTCCGAATACTGTCTATTAACTCGTTTTGAATGGTCTGTATGAATCTAATCTGATTATTTGCGGGACAAACTGTGTTGTGTTTGTTATTGTCTGGTGTTTAATTTCAATCACTGGGCGCGACTAATTTTCACCAGCAGGCGACATTTGTGTCGCCTACTTCACATGTTAAAAAATGCTCTGATATGAGTATTGTTCACTCACTTAAATGTACCTATTAACCAGTTGTCTTAAACATACAGGGTGTCCCGTTCATGTTTCAAAAAAACTTGTGTGCAAGTTCCTCATGGAAAAATAATAGGGGTAGGTCATGTAGAGTTTTTATCTTAGACGCCCTCTTTTCGAGATACAGTGTGTTGAAGTTATTACTTTCCAAATGGTTTTCCTTAATTATCTTTAAATCGGCTAAAGATAAAAATGTTAAAATTTGTACACTAGTAAACATCAACTGTGCGTTAAGAATAATGTGCAAACGGTTTCATTCCAAAAAGCAGTGTCGCCGATACAGGCAACTGGAAAGGTACAATCGAAAAAAAAATTGTTAAAAGTCAAAATTTATTACGTTTTTAAACGGTTCTGTAAACTCTAAAGTATACTACAACAAAAAAGCTATACTTGTCGAAATTCGGTAGCATGTACCATTTTCGAGAAAAATTAAGCTGCATAGAAGAAATGGGGGACAATGTCAGTATCTACTGGAGTATTTCGAGTTTTGCTCATTTATTTAATGGTGCAGCTGTTTTGTTCTGTATGTCTCCGAGTCTGTTTTGTAATGTTTTTCTGTTTTTATCAATTTTTTTAAGCATTCATGTCCATCAACAATTCAGCGCATTCAACAATTGTTTATTTTAGTAATGTAGTGTAGTAGTTTACAAAATCTAAAATTAGCTAATAATAGATACCTAATTAATTACCATAATCTGTTTATTTTGATTTACTTTTTTAAATGTTAGTTTACAACAAACTGAAACTTAAAATAAATTTTATTTTTGTTTTTTAGTTAATAAAATGTTTTACAATTTAACTGTTTCATGTGATATGCAAGAAATTAAAATTATAGTCTTAAATGCAAATACTGTTGGTAGCTAAATGTCTTCAGCTCATTCAATGGTAAGGTCTTCTTTCAATTTAATATTTTGTTAATGTACTTGTGCCGCTTTATGTGAGCAAAAAAAATGCAATTTCATTTTTCTCGAAAACGGCATGCAACCGAATTTCGACAAGTATACCTTTTTTTTGTCGTATCCTTTAGAGTTTACAGAACCGTTTAGAAATGTAATAAATTTTGACTTTTAACATATTTCTTCTTCGATTGTACTCCTTCAGTTACCTGTATCGGCCACACTGCTTTTCAAAAAGAAACCGTTTGCACATTATTCTTAACGCATAGTTGATGTTTACTCGTGTACAAATTTTGACATTTTTATCTTTAGCCGATTTAAAGATAATTAAAGAAAACCATTTGAAAAGTAACAACTTCAACACATTGTATCTCGAAAACAGGGCGTCTAAGAAAAAAACTTTACATGAAGTACTCCTATTATTTTCCCATGACGAACTTGCACACAAGTCTTTTTGAAGCATGAACGGGACACCCTGTATATTAATTTATTTATCTGTAGCGATATATTCCTAACAAGTTAGAACTGACTCATTCCATTTGACATTTTTGACAGTCATAGAACAATGTTATAAAAATTACATGTTAAAAGTGTGAGTAAACATTTCCATTTAACTATATAACTCTATCTGAATTGACGCTTTCTGTTACAAATGTAACGGAACCTAGTTTTAACAACAGAACAAAAAGGAAAATCAACTATATAGTATAGAAATATTTCAAAATACTGGTAATGTCTACATTCCTAAAGTGGCATGTACTATTGCATATAAAAAAAAATTGTTTACTTGTCTGACTGGGTCAAGTAAGTTATATAATTAACCTAATTAACTGCTTCACGTCAGGTTTGAATTAGTTAAAGTATATCTCCGCCCTGCGACTGTTGGTAAATCAATAGTATACTTGTTGGGGATCATTTATTTGAGTCACAGTAGATACAGTATTTTCACTATTTTGTTTCATAAATATATCTAATTAAAGTTCTCATAATTAAGGATCATCTAGATGCCTATCAAATAAAAATATATTTATCTAACTGAAAACACATAGCTAAAAGTATCCGCAGATATTTGTTAACAGACAAAAAAATTAAAACAAATGCGAATATAAGTATCAGATTTTTCTTGATTTGAAATAATATAAACATTTTAAAAGGAATTCCAAGTAAATAATATTTTTCTTTATCAAATCAAATTA